ACAATACAGTACATGGCATTTAGAACAACTTTAAAAATTCATATGAGAATCAGCTCAAAGTTGATACACAGCATAAGGACATGTATATGTATCAAGAAAAATTATAAAAATGGAGAATTCTTTCCATGTGATTTTTGTCAAAATATGGTACCCTTCTTACAATCCAAATAAAACCCTGATACTACTCACAGTACTATTAATCTATCATACATGTACCTGCCCATGTCTCTTCCCTTTGCTGATGGTCTAGCAGAATAATAATAATCTTTGTAATTGTCCATCCACACTTCAGCAGCACGTTTTGTATTTCTATTAATAAACAAATACAAAGAGTCATAATTTATATCACATATTAATAATCATTCAAATATCACATATTAATAATCATTCAAGCTAACTTCATATAAGTCATTGCATTGCCTCCTGGAAATACATATGGATGTCTTTTCCTAAATACATGGCCAACTCTAGAACAAGGGATGATCTCTAGTGATCCACCACACATCCACGTTCGAAATGATATTTCTATTAATAAATCATCATAATGCAATATCTTTAATTTTCATTCTCTCACCAAAGTTTTCACCTCCCCAGATATCCATTTGATCATCATATTTACCAGTTTCAATAAACCTTTGTCTGTTAATAGAGAACAGCCCACCAGCAATCATTGGAGTCCTGCACATTTAGTGTATGATCAACACTGGAATAAGTACATGAGATTCATGTCTTACTTTATTGGTTCAATTGGGGACTTTCTTTTTGCTCTTTGTGCAGGAGTGAATCCATCCCATTTAAAATGGAGGCTCCAATCAAAACCTACACACATTAAGAGAATTACATGTACATGTATGTAACACATGATTAGTATATGCACATGCACATCAGAATCAGATTAATTCCAATAATGGAACTATAGTTTAGTACAATACTTATAATACATACCTCCTCTTAGTTCAGATGAAGCACCTATGTAATCAAATGTATCCATACTGATGACATCAATAATAGGACTAACCACTATCGTCCTATCCTATAATGAAATAATAATAAGAGTTAAAACGTAAAGCATTGTGTATTATCTGATTTATCAGCACTCACTCCCAAATTTGGTTGCCAAAAATAGTGCATGAAGGATAAAGTACATGTACATATGGCATTTGGAGCAACTTTAAAAATTAACAAAAAATCAAATTTTGATCGGAATCAGTTCAAATTTTGATCGGAATCAGTTCAAATTTTGTAGTCAGGATAAGAACATGTATAAGTATCAGAAAAAACAGAGAATTCTTTCATAGCCTTTTTTGACAAAACTTGGTTCAAGTCCCTGTACTAAGTCCCTGTACAAGATGCTTAGCCCGATTTTTGAGAAACTTTAAAAATTCATAAAAAATCCAAATTTGATCAGAATCAGTTCAAACTTAATAAACAGCACAAGGACATGTATACACATCAAAAAATATTATAAAAATGAAGAATTCTCTCCTTGTGATTTTAGCCCAATTTTTGAGCAATTTGATAATCCACTGATAAGAAGCTGCATCAGCACTATACCAAAAAATCCTTTGGAAAACC